TATCGAATTGAAAACGACTGTAATACCATGCACCATGCACCATGCACCATGCACCATGCACCACAGACCACATAACCCATACCACGCACTATGCACCTGTGGAAACCACGCACCACGCACCATGCACTGCCACACACTACCATGTACTGGGGGCAACTGCCCATGTTTTTGTAAAAAAACATTTAAGATGTTTTGAGGGTTGCCTTCGTAATTGGGAAGGTCACCTTTTAAATTTGGCATTTTGAGCAAAACATTTAAAATATTTTTGACATGTTTTCCCCGGAAACATCGACTAATACCCCCAGTGATGCACCACGCACCTCACCAAGATCACCAGATGGCTGCTTATCCTATCACCACCATGCAGATAAAATATATGTTGTTCGCGTCGATGATTTTCGAGTGTTTTGGGAATGACTCACCCAATAAGGCAGCTGTTGCCAAGCCAGCTATATAGACGATCTGACACCTGAGGCACCGGCAAATCGAACACGCGGGGAGATTGTTATGGATCTTGAAAAATATTACCGGGCACTCGAGATGATATAAGGTTTTGAATCACTCTTACAGTGAACGGGGACGAGTTTATGGTCGATTGTTACGACTCCGATGACCGGACTCGGACCTGAAACTAGGTCCCAGCATCCGTGCCCTTTACGCCCACAGAGGCCCCGTACACCTCTATGGATAATTAAGATCCGAACCATTATATTGAAGAACCATATATCTCGATTAAGGTCAGTACATTGTATATAAGAGCATGTTCAGACGTTCACGCACTCCTTGATGTGCCCCCTCAGACTCGTCGCAGCAAAGCGCTTCTTGCAGCGTGTACACTCTTCTACTAGCCCAGTCCACTCAGTAAGCGACAGCCCATTCCCACCTGCTAATCTCGCGAGCAAGGCCTGCTCGATTTCAGATGTACCAGCCTGATTGCTGGAGGAGGATGGCATGCTGGAGATGGTCGAGTGGCCGGAGACGGTGATGCTACCTGCTGCGATAGAGAGGGCGGTCGCAAGGAAGAAGGGAGGCGCTGGGAGGGCTGGTGCACCACCGGTAAGCACACTGCTGTGGACGGGTATGTTGGAGGTGCTGGCTGCCATGAGAGCGTGGCTCTGCAGTGTGCGCCAGCGAGGGGCTATGGTGATATAGCGACGGAATATGTCTAAAGTTAGCTAGTTAGCTGTGAGCATACAGACCAAAGTTCTGTAAAGACGTACCTGAGAAGTTTCGACGATGTGTTCGCATTGGTAAGTGACTGGCCAGCTGGATATAGCCCGGGTACATGGACTGATGAGAGCCGCAATAGCCCTCGAAAAGAGGGGCAATCTCAGCCAACCGGTGATTGTTGTTGGTGCTGAGGCGTTCATTGAAGAGGCGAAGCCAGGGATCGATATCGTACGGAGTCCCCGAAGCTACGAAACAGGTGTCAGTTAATTAGTCAAGTAGTACAAGGAAATCAAGTAGACGTACCTAGAGTCGGAATATGGAGATACCTTGAATCCTCGTACGCTTGGTGGGATGTTTCGTTGAGGTCGACTGGATTAGAAATGGGCATCAGGAAGTGAAAGGACATGGAGGAAAGGTAAATCAACGCGTACTTCGAAACCGCACCCATTAGTCTTTGAGTGGCAATAGACCATAGTGTGGTTGGTTTCGGGGACAAACATGATGCGAGAAGGGGTAGGGTGGTTGGATGTGAGGCCACAGAAGCACTCCCATATGAGACCGCGTCGACGCAGGAAGCTGGCTATGCCATCGGGCTGGATACGACCACGGTTGCATTGCATTTGGGACTGACAAGATAGTGAGGTTATGAAGTGGCCAGATATGTTAGTAAGGAAAAGCGTACTATGCAATCTCAACAACAATACAAGCCTCCCGGGAGTAAACAACAAGCTCCGTGCTTCCACGTTGATGTTCGATTCACGCGTGAAAAAGATCTGCCATGTTCGATTGGATGAGAAGTCAAAAGTGAGGTGGTGTCAACGAATCTGAACATACAGTATTTATGTTTTAAGAGAGCCTTAGAACTCGGAGCTGAGGTGCAAGATCCGGAGACGTTCAACAGACGGTCGGAACATGGAGAAAGACATACCTCCTCGGCAGCTCTCCGCAGCTCAAGCAAAAGCCCGTTCTTGAATGCGTTGAACGATGGTTCGGGTGACTTCATAGAGGGTGTTCAGGGTGAAGGAGTGACTGGACGTCATCGGAACATCGCAAAACATGGGAGACCTGGCAAAGGATCAACATGTGAGCAAGGCAGAGTCAGCATATTTGCAGGGATGTGAAGGAAAGCAGCGAAACGATGTACTTGTACACAGTGGGCAGAGCGCGATGGTGGTGGTTGCATTCAAAGGTGTCGGCCCGAACGTGCGCGATACCCAAGTTGGTAACTGGACTCAGCGCCGTCAGCGGTGTTCTTGCGCAGTACTAGCTTTGGCAGCAGGCTGCTTGGGCATCTCTAGGCTGCTCGCTGTCGCTGCGTCTGGGGGAGAACATATAAATTGCATACTGTTTCGATGGCATTTGACCTCACCATATGAACCCATGCCTGCCACACGCTCAGTTTCAGCCTCTCGTTCTACTCGTCGAGGGTCGCCGATTTCAGCTTCAATTTCTTCATACCACCCTACTCCATATTTCTTCACTCAAGCTGAACGCACTGCAAAGATTAATCGTGTTAACAGGCAGACTTATGTTGATGCACTGATTGACTATCCTATAGGTTCTGTTATCGAGTACCCTGGGACGGGCAACAGCAGTGATTCTTCGATAGCTTACCGGTTTCAGGTAGATCCTGACCACTTTCTTCACCCCAAGTTCAATCTCCAGTATTCTGTTGGTGATGGCCATGGCGGGCATCCCAAGGTCGAATGCTATCTACTCAGAGATAAGGACGGCAAGTCCGTGCC